TCAGAAGGAGACAAGTCACGTAGTTGGTGGTGGATAAGCTATTGGACATGTGTGATATTCTGTGTATTCAGGAGACCTTTCTAGCGAAGCAAGACCTAGAGGATCTCGACATTTTGCATAAAGACTTTTTTAGGGCAGGAGAATCTACCACTGACTATACAGTAGCACCAAGTTGGTGAGGGGAAGAATTTCTGGAGGAGTGGCATAGAAGATATGACCAGCTGGTCAGAATAACCAGACTGGAGGTGGACTGGGCTGTAGGTCTGGAGTTCAGCTGTGAGGATATGCCTTATGAAAGTTCTCATAATGAAGATGAATTCCTCAGCAGACTTGCCCACATCTTGTCACATATTCAGGTCAATCCGTCCACTTGCCTTTTTATTATGGGGATATGAATGCCAATGTGTCCAATAGTAGGTCTGTATTTGGCAATCACCTAAAACAATTCTGTTCAGACAATAGGTTGGTCCTTTCTAGTGAGGCGCTACTACCGGTGGGAAGCCACACTTACGTATATCAGTGAAGCATGGCACTCAACTTCATGGCTCGACCACTGCATCTGTTCCAAAGATGTGCGTGAGTCAATAAGTGACATCAACATAAACTCAGAACTTGCTGTCTCTGATCACATTCCCTTCTGTCTATTGATAAATATAGGTAATTTACCAGCCCTGTTTTCTATAATAAATGACTCTCAAGATGGGAAAATAAATTGGGACAGTATAACTGAGCAGAATCTCCATAAGTATGGCAGCCGGTCGGATGTCCTTCTGGGTAATCTTAAACTCCCTAAGGGTGCGGTAACATTTGGGAACATGAACTGTAGGAATGTGCAGCATGGTAGAGAGCTGTGCCTCCTCTATGAGGCAATTGTTACCTCAAGTAGGCCACTTCATAAAAATCGTAAGCATAAAGCTAAGCCTGGTTGGACTGATCATGTAGGAGAGCTCTATGCAGAAGCCAGAAGGGCATATAGACAGTGGGCTGACTCAGGGAAACCAAAAAGGGGCCGGTGTAAAAAAATACACTAATGCAAAGGTGAAACGTTCTCCGCTTTACATCAAAAAGAACCATGATATGCTTAGAAATTCTTCATTAGCAAACAAACTACAAAACCACAGTCCTACAGAATTTTGGAAATTATAAGGATGAATACTTGTAGGACACCCCTACCATCAGATGTTGATGGGGCTTTTGGATCTGAAGAAATTAAGTCAGTTATGGCATAAGCATTATTATGATTTGTTTAATTGTGTCAAGAGTAATCCCCCTGAAGTTGATAAGGCAGAGAACAACAAGGATGTATCTGTTTCAGTGTAAGTCCATGACATTGTGATGAAGCTGAAGGATAATATGTCATGGGGGCATGATAAGATATCAGCAGAGCATTTAAAGTTTGCGAGCAGGAAACTTTACCCCGCTGTTGGCCATTTGTTTTACAGGGTTTTTAATTCACGGTGTTTTACCACAGTCTATGCTGTCAGCTGTCTTGGTACCTATCATAAAGAATAAAACTAGCAGAATAAACAGTAAAGATAATTACCGGCCCATTGCTTTATCCAGTACTCTGTCTAAGGAGAGGGCTATTTTGACGGGACTAGAGGAGTTGTTTTTTTCACATCAGATCATCAATTTGGATTTCAATGAAATCTAGGTACAGACATGTGTATTTTTGCCTTAAAGGAAATTCTGGATCTGTATAGCAGGCACAACACGACCGTATTTAAATGTTTCATTGATCCTTCTAAAGCAGTGGATCGTGTTAGTCACGAAAAGTTGGTTTTAAAACTGCTCGACAGGAATGTACCTAAATATCTGGTGAGGATTTAAGTATATTGGTACGGCCACCAGTCCATGGTTGTCAAATGGGGGAATTCAGTGTCCCTTCCTTTTACTGTTTGTAATGGTGTACGACAAGGCAGTCTTCTGTCTCCTTATCTTTTTAATGTGTACATGGATGACCTGTCCAGGCTGCTGAGTGAATGTATTTCTAGGTGTCCAATTTCTGTCATGCTGTCACTTTTCAAAGCATTTTGTACACCGCTGTACACTGCACATTAGTGGAGGAAATACAGGAGAAGAAGTCTGTACAAACTTCAGGTGGCGTACAGTGATGGGTTGAGGCTGCTGCTGAAGGTACCTCGCTGGAGCAGTGCCAGCCAGTTAATCTTTCTTTGTGTCTTTATTGAACATCTAAATCAATGGACAATTTAAAGTATTCAAAAGAAACCCATACATATTTATATGCATATATATGTAGAACATATAGGCGCTTGGGTTGCCTCGGGGGTGCACTACAGTCGGTTGTGAGTGGGGCCCCTTGGGGGGTGGGGGTCTCGGCAGCAGCCATGGGTTGCTGCCTGGCGGCTGCATCGCCTCTGAATAAGTCTGGGTGGGGGCCTGGGGGCTCGGGATGTGGGGGCAGCGGGTCCCGTGTGGGGATCTGGGTGGGGACTTGGGGATGAGGTCCCCAAGCTAAAAAAGCTAGAGTTGCGTTTCTAATTTTGGCCAAAATGCTCAAAATCCCAGCCAAACACAGCATTCCAGGAATCTGTTAGTACATCCTTTCACTGTGGACTAAACCAATTTAGTGTTCTCTGGTCACCTAGGATTTTTCTCTCGGTACCGTAAAGACAAAACAAAAAGACTTGTCTCACCAGGTCTCTCCGCTCAGGTTTTGAGTTCTTGGATCGGCGTGCCTCACAGCTACGTCAAGACCCGCACACCGACCTCCCAGCGAAAGCTCAGCGCTGGAGGAGTTTCAGGTTGTCGACAGTTCTCCAGCGTTGACTCTAGGCCCCACCAGGTGACCCAGGACCCCAGCTTCGAAGGACCAGATTATGTTAGGGATTTTCTTAATCACCTAGTACCTGCAGCAAAGAGAAAAGAGAGACAAATAACCACACAAGTTACTGTTTGCAAATCAGGGCAGATGCTCAATCAAAGGCTTGAGGCTCACACTGCAAAGAGTATCCGCCGTTCAAGTTTATTTATAACATGAGACAAGAACGGAAGAGAAGGTGTGTGTGTGTGTGTGTGTGTGTGTGTGTGTGTGTGTGTGGGTGTGTCTGAATGAATGAGAATGCTTTCAGGCGTAGAGTAATACATAATACATTCAGTTAATAGGATTAATGATCAAGAAATAATAAAACATAACATTTCTATAACACACCTTGATCAGATGCAAACTTCATCTGACTGCCAGCAGTCACCCGGGTTGAATCTCATCGGCCAGCAGTGCAAATTCAAGGGAAGCTATGACCTTTACCATTCCAAAAGTCAACTCCTCTTGGCAGCCTGGCCGAATCAACTTCCTGCTAGCTGAACTTACTCCCATCTCAAGGGTAATCGTAGTCTCTCACCTGGCATTGGATAGTTTTTATTATTAATTTGATAACTTGTGAAACCTCATTAAACGGGGGCAGCAGTAGCCCAACAGGTTGAGCCGGTTGTCCAGTATTCGAAGGTTGCAGGTTCGATCCCGGACAGAGAATTCTGCTGTTGTGTCCTTGGGCAAGACACTTAACCCCCTTGCCTGCTGGTGGTGGTCGGAGGGACCGGTGGCGCCAGTGCTCGGCAGCCTCGCCTCTGTCAGTGCGCCCCAGGGCAGCTGTGGCTACATCGTAGCTCATCACCACCAGTGTGTGAATGAGTGTGTGAATGAGTGTGTGTGAATGGATGAATGATACACTGTAATGTAAAGCGCTTTGGAGTCCTTACTCTGAGAGGCGCTGTACAAGTGTGGGTCATTTATCATTATAAACATTCAGCTAGATTTATTTTATAACACAGACAATCACATTTAATTAATTAAGCTCTTAAATTATACAAGGCCACGTTTCATCAGACTTTATTTATTATCTCAGTTGATATCACTTTAAATCAACTTTTATATTAATTTGTGCTGCGTCATGATAATAGTAGAAATATAGTAACAAATTGATATTAATAAACTATATTTTTTGTCTCTGTGTCAAATTATTATAAAGTGTTGTTTCCCTGGAATACCCAAAGTACCTAGTGTCATCATCAGTTGAATATTAAAGGTTCAATAGTATTGATAATCAATTTTTCTAAGGAATATTATATTTTATTGAAAACGTTGATGTTCTATCGACAATTTATTAAATGTAACCCTTTACAAAACGTTACAGCCGTTATGCTCAACCCGACCTGCTCAGTGTCTGAGGGGAGCACCGTGGCAGGGATCGGTAACGCTGTCGTCGTTGCCCGTAGCTCGTCTTTAATAAAGGTGAACTCGTTTGCAAGGGCACCTTTCAGTCCTGCTCTAAACACCTCCCAGAATTCAGACTTCAGTGCCACGATTGTTTCATCCTTCAGGATCAACGTGTGCTAGGGGTAGAAATCTGTGTAGATGAGGCCAAAGCTTCAAAGGTAACATGATCTCTACACGCCAAGGATGCAATAGGGTCAGAGGCCGCAACTGAAGTACCTGTGATTATTTTGAGATTTGCTGGCCGTCATGCAGCCGTTTAATCCAATAATCCACACTGGCACGTTGGAGGGTGCGGTGAAGTAATTTTTGTTTTATTCACAGTTGCTTATCCCACCATCCAGGGGTAACAGAGGCTGTTGATTTTCTATATTTAACACACAGCGCTCCCGCTGAGAAATTACACATTGCCTGACTTTCTTCTCAGCCAGCAAAACAACTCAGCTTCTCCTCAGTCTCCCATGTGTCAGTCACTGAAAGCTTTTTAAGCTTTCCCCACCCCTAAGCACTCCCCATGTATAACATCATACCAGCCATTGCACAGAAACGTAAGCATTGACATAGCTCCAACAAATCTGGGTTGTGTGTGTGTGGAGGATTAGAAAAATCATGAAGGCGTCTCCAGGTGTGCACCCCTGGTCACGCCCTGCACTGCTGGTGGGGAAATTAATGAATCACTGCCACAACAACAATCCACGAATGTATAATGTGTGTGTGTGTGTGTGTGTGTGTGCGCGTGTGTGTGTGTGTGTGTCACAACTGTCAGATGTGTGTGTGAGTTAGGTCACATTGGAGACGGCAGGCGTTGCTACGGTGACCTGATGGAGCGCCTAACGGAGCTGGACTCGAGCGGCGGCCTGAAGGGGAACCTGACGGGAGCAGTGGCGTTGTTCGGTAGTCCTGAAAAACATTCTGATCATCCCAGAGCCATGATTGTTTCTAGGGGATTGTTGCTTTTAAATCAAAGTTTTAAACCATAACAATGTAGTTTTTAGGACTTTTCCAATAAACACAGATAACATATCTGAGCCTAATTCTAAAAACCAGATTCACAATTTCAGTTTGGGATTTGATTCAGTTTTAGGTATTTATTTATGGGGGGGGGGGGGGGGGGGGGGGGGGGGGGTAGATGTTATTTAATTGATTCTCTACTGATAAAGAAAAGGTACTGTGATTAATATTAACAAATTACTATATAATAGATTATCTATCCATTCATATATTTTTGGCTGCTTATCCGGGGTCGAGTCGGGGGGCAGTAGCCTAACAGGGAAGCCCACACTCCCCTCTCCCCATGTCACGCTGCGGTGTTGGAGGACCTGAAATGCAGAAACCCAAAAGCCTTCGAGGCATCAAGGAAACACAAGAAAACAGTTGAGATTTTGCTGATTTAGTTATAAACAAATTCTTTTAAGGCGTATATGCACACATCAGTGCCATGTTTAGGTATCCTGCGCTCCGTGTGTGCGTGCTACACAGTTTAGCATTAGCCTAACTCCACTTGAAGTGAGGCATGAAAAACAAGAGGCAGATGTTACTGGATGACCTTCGTCCCATGTGGCTTACAGAGAACTAAAAAAAAATGGCTGACTTGCTGTCACTTGCTAGAACGGATTTTCAGAATTAAACACATTTCAAAATAAGAGTAGCTCAAACCCGTCCATATTACAATAACATTAGGGGCAGAACATCAGGCTTTAACCCAAACTGGTTGTCAGTAGATAATACTAATGTGTCTATCCTCACCAGGAGAATTTGTTCACGTAATGTAGACATTATCCTAGCAAGAGCAATAGGTCTGTAATCATCAGAACAGCCCGCTTTTCCTGTTTTGTCCTTCAGGAGTCTGGAATGAACCCATGAACAACAAAGGCTGTACAGCACAAGGCAAGGAGAGGGCTAGTCTCAGACTTGCAGATCTGAGATGTTCAGCAGGAACAACATCTGACCCAGATGTTTTATTTACAGACAATTGTTTGATTGCGTGATGAACTTGACGCGTTTTAATAGTTTCTACTGTGTCCACATAATCAAGCTGGTAAGGTTCACTGTGGACACAAACAGCTTACCACGGTGCTGTCGCCAGAGCTCTCATCAATGTGAAGCACTTTCTGTGTGATGAGTGCTAAAGAAATAAAATGTACTTTCTTACTTACTTTGATCTCAAAGGACCCAGACACCCCGTCTATTTTACTAGGAAGAGATGGTTTACTCTTGTTAATCATTTTCACGTCTTTCCAAAAGGCTTTAGTGCCTTTCCCTAATAGCTCAGCCATGGAATAAGCTCTGATGGATTGCTCATTCTTCCTGATAAAACGAATTGCATGTTTATATTTTAAGTTACTCAGCCTTTTGTGCTCAAATATCTGCCCGCAAGAGCCCACCAAGTGGTAGCCTCGCAGGCTTCAGCATGGTAATGGGCCACATATGTGGTCCATCCAGGCCTTGTTTTACTCTTCTTTTTTACTTTATTGTAAGACATGCTGGCTTCCTGTAAGGCTTTGATTGTACATGGAGGATATGTCTGTTCTATGCTTAGTGTTTAAGTAGTTACAGTCCACACACAGAACAGCCTCTCTGGGTAATTTTATATTACACAGCGGTTTGTCGGTAAGAGCACAGTAGGAGGCTAGGTCGTCAGCTGAGAGGGAAGACCAGTCAATATATTTCTGATTTTGCTCATTTACATGATGTACAATTGAAGGTAAACAATGAAAAGTAAAAGGGCGCGCACCCGGCTCCTCACATCATGGTTTCAGCCTAATGGGCTCGACACACGGGAGGCGACAAACGACCGCGATCAGCGAAATTTGTCGCTGTCGCTTTTATTACCTGTCACACGGGAGGCGACCCGCGGCAGCGGCCAGCGGCAAAGCCGTCGACGCGTTCTGTTCCATGGTGAAATCGAAACGTCCGTTGTGTTGATTGGCTGTGTCAGGTTGGAGGGAATTAAGGTTATTTAAGCGGTTCAGAGTTAATAAAGCGGTAGATATGATGTTTCACAAGGTGCTGCTAGAGTTATGTGAAATCTCACTTCTGATTTTACTATAAAACATAATAATAATCAACTTCTCCTCCATGTTTGCTCGGAGATGTACGGAGCATCCTGTCCGCTCATTGGTCAGTGAATGAAACCTCCGTTGATTGGTCCTCGTCCGAGCGACAGCGATGAAAAGTTGAAAATGTTTCAACTTTCTGGGATCGCGTCGCTGGGTCGTCCGTGCACGACACGTGCACGAGTGCAAAATTTCACATGCACGTTTTTCGCGTTTCGCTTAGTAGGAGGGAGACCCGCGATTATCGCTTTGTCACGCACGTCTCATTGAAAATGAATGGAGGAGAGGCGATGTCGCCTCCCGTGTGTCGAGCCCATAAGGTTGCAGCACATTCTTCATAATCAAACCTGTAGCATGAAGCTGCTCCATTTTGCGGAGCCGACAGACATCTACGCTAGTAAAAGTCACTGGAGGCAGCTCATCCAAACAGTGAGACACAAATCTAGGGACATTGTCTCCACATTCATTCAACACTTGCAGGCAGGCTTTAACGTTGTTGATGTCTTTTTGCACACCTTCGTGAGAGATGCTGCGCTGTGTGGTGAAGAGCTCATCCAGCGTTTTCTTGGAGGTTTCAATCCAGTCAGAGTCAAATGTGTTTACAGCCAGCAGGACAATTTCATCCTGACTTAAAGTTTTCAAGTTCACATAGAGAAAGTGTAGAAATTCATCCTCCATGATAGCTTTGCCGTCAGTAGTTTTAAAGATCTCTGGTTTATGGCGAACTCTAGCAAACACAGAGGCCCCGTCAGCCATCCTGGGTTGGTATCATTGTAATGAAAATGATTCGACTACATGTTTATTAATAAGACCAGTAACATGTGATGAATCCATAGAAATTTGAAATGTTGATCTGATTGATCTTTGAATGTTTACCGTAATTTCCGGACTATAGAGCGCACCTCAAATTACGCCGCACCAACAAAAAAAAAGGTCTTCTACACACACACACACACACACACACACACACACACACCGCACTCGAATACAAGCCGCGGCGCAGCAGCCACATGCAGGTCTCCGGCGCACAGCGCATGTACGGCCATGACTTAACATAATTAGACAGGAAGACGCTACACGGAGGTTTTTCCTTGTTTTTTTAATTCAACAAAACAAATTTTAAACACGGGTGGACGTGCCTGCAAGTGTAGATAAGAAAACAGCACTGATAGCATTCATATTTCTGGATGTTATAAAATAAAAACAGCACTGACACGTTATTACCGGTCATTTGCATGTTTAGAAGAACAGAACAGCGCTGACTCAGCATTAATAAGCCCTGGATGATTAGAAAATAAAAACTGCACACAAAACATGCCTGGTTAGTAAATAAAACACACTTGCCTACCAGAAGAAGTCATTCGCTCTCATCTTCCTCCTGCGCCCTAAAGCCATTAAAGTCCTCTTCTTCAGTGTCGGAGTTGAACAGCCTTAAGCCGGGCGGACACTGTGACTTTTTCACTTTTTTGAGCCGATTTTCCACTCGTGTGAGAATCCACGAGATCGGGGCGAGTTTTGCGCCGAGCGGTCGTGTACAGGGGGTTACGAGAGGAGATTAACACCACATGACCAGCTGCCGATCAGCAGTCGTGAGCTCGCACGGACTTCTGGCGTGTTTAATATTTTGCTCGTCCCTCGTGAGGGTATCGCACTGTTGAAGCGGCGCAGCGAGCAGCTGCGACCCAAAAAGTATCAGAACCGCTCACGGCGCATGCGCAATCCTGCATCAACGCCGCTCGCTCGCTATTTCCCTAATAACACACGCTGTTCGTTTTTATTTCTACACGTTTTTTTACTCACAAAGATTGTCAAGAAAGCGTGTTTGTCGTGTTCATGTCAAATTAAACTGATCACAAAACACAGATTTACTTTCTTTATTTCGTTTTCCTCATCCAACCCCCATAAATCCCTGTGTGTCCTCCTGCAGCGCTCCCGAAGGACAACAGGCAAAACAAGACAAAAAAGTCTGACGTGTTGAGTAAAAACTGCTATTTTTAGCATATTTTTAGGGCCGACGTGTTGCTACCAGACGTACAGTGTGAGCAGTCGGGTCGCATGCGAGAACTGGGTCGTGCAGTGTGAGCACATGACTCGTGAGATCTGCTCTGCGAGGAAGTCGTACAGTTAGAGCTGAAGCTGAGTGCTACAAGTGGAAAAGTCGCACAGTGTACGCCCGGCTTTAGAAGAGCTTCGTCACATACCTTTTCTGCGGCGATGTCTGTGGCGATGTCCGTGTTGCTGTCGTCATCCCCGGGTGAAGCTGGCTTGAATGAGTTCTTCCCGCTGCCGTCTCCAGCGCCGAACCATGGATTCATTCATGCCAAGCTCACGTGCGGCAGCGCTGTTTCCCTCCTTTACTGCCAGATCGATGGCCTTCAGCTTAAATGCAGCATCATATGAACTCATACGTGTAGTTACCACGATGAGGGGGTATGGATATGAAAAACATTCTTCGTGGTGCCGGCTGCTTGCGTGTGCTAAATTAAAATGAGCACTTTCTTCCATTTCCACTTTTGACTTCCACCTGTTTCACTTCCTGCTAAAGCGCCCCCTAGTGGCAGGTGAAGGAAAACCTTCAGTAAAGCCGCACGGTTCAAAGCGTGGGAAAAAAGTAGCGGCTTGTAGTCCGGAAACTACGGTAATCAGAAGATTATAGTTACTTTACTTATTCAGGAACCATAAACACACTTCACATTAATTCAAACAGGGTCAAGTTTAGTTTATAAAATGAATTTATTTCCACTTCCCTAAACTAATGATTATACATGACAAGGAAGGAGTAATGATGTAATGGATATGAAGAGATGTCATGTGATGTGTGAAATGTTGTAATGGATCCAGATGTTTTAGCAAAACCGTTCTTTGTATCTGAGAGAATTCGTGAAGTCTGGGTTGTAAAAGTAAACGGGCTGTTTTTTTAGTCATTTGTTCATAAAACCATCCGACTCAATATGTGCCAAGTCTATGCACCCTCGTGTGGACATTCTTGTGCGATCCAGGGGGTCAAGAGGTCGTGATGGACACTGTCGGTGGAGTGAACCTCTCAGTACCAGGAACCTGTAGACTAGCTCTGCTAGGACCTGTCTAGTCTGAGATCTCTCCAGGTGACGACAGGAAGCTGGAACGCTTGTTTGTGTCCAAGTCTGTCTGTTAGCTCTTAGAAGAAGAAGAAGAAGAAGAAGAAGAAGAAGATATCGTTTCTATAGCGCCTCTCAAGATAAAAATCACGAGGCTCTTAGAAGAGCCGTTGTGTCTGTAATCACTCGCAGCGTTGCAGAGAGGCTCTGACCTGAGGTCCAAAGACGGGATGGTTTCAAAGTGCTTGTTCCTGAATTGGCCGGTTGGAGAGTCAGTGAGAAACTGAATGAATAGGGAAGTAATTCTTGTTTTATTAAGCCCAGAACAAAACTTCATGCCATGGGAGATCGAGCTTGTCAAGCCCCACGCCTGTGGACCACTGAGAGCACCTCAGAGTGTTGGATGTTTTAAAAACATCTGAAGACATTTTTATTTACACAAGCTTTTCCAAACTGATTGGTATTGCTGTTGTTTTGCCGTGTGTTAGCTTAGCCTTGTATGGTTTTATGTATTTTTTAATTTGTTTTTATTCATTGTTTTTAATTATTCCATACATTGTTTCTGATTTCCTACTGGAGCACTTTGAGATTTCATTGAAATGTAAAGTGTGTTACAAATAAAATCTTTTATTATTATTATTATTAAAACGGTTCTGAGACGTCATGCCTTACTTCAGACACTCAGAGAGGTTAACGCTTTGTGAGAATGAGAATGTTTTAAAACACTTATGTGAAGTGAATATTATCATTAATAATTATCTTATTATAACGTGTATGAGTGTAGATATTGATAAGAGCACAGATTAATTCATACATTTGATTTAAACTTCTTGTTCATTCAACACATATTATTATTCCAGCGTATAACTGTAAAGTCAGCAGGAACTTCGAGAAGGTTTAACTTTTATTCAAAGTGCGGAGTCAGCAGTCTGACTTGAGGCCTTGAGCAAAGATGTTTTATCTTCTTGTAGTAAAACAAGAACTGAGCAGAACTTTCTGGACTTGGAGGCCAGACAGGTGGTGGGTTTATGTCTGCAAATGAAAGGTTATCGTGGCATTTTTGATGGTGAAACCTGACCACTGTGTGTGTTACATCATATATGTGACTGGTTGGTTTTTGTACACGTTGTGGTTGTATATTTGAGCGTTTTAGCTTTTATTGATTTCAGACCCATTCTCCTTCCCCCTAAAAAGGCATTGCCTTTTGCCAGAGTTGTTTGTGAGACTTTGTTAATAATTTGCATTTGCCTTAATTTAACCCCATGCCACGTCGTAGATTCTATGTAAAATACGTAAGCACACACTTACCCCTCCACCGTAAGTCACTGGTCAGTCGTATTCATAAAACAGATCACCCTGACACAATACCTGAAACAATAAACACATAATTACAAAAAAATAAAAATAAATAAAGAACGATAGCATGGAATAAACACATAAGATTACATAAACAGAATGGTTTCAACTCACCACTGAAACATGTGTTTGTGTTGCTGTTTTGACAGAGAGAGGATGCTCAAAGGTTCTGAGGCGGTCTGGACCCTTCACAGCTTTCTTCCCTCTGCTGAAGGATCCTCTGACTGTAGGTCACTTCCTGAGTCGACTCACTGGGAGTGGGTGATGTTTGACCTTTAACTCTCTGTTGATTAGAAACCAGTATGACCTCACTGAAAGTCATCTCCTCAAACAAAAACAAATGCAGCCAATGGTAGGCAATCCATTACTGTTACCACATGTCACATCAGTGGCCACAGTCACCTCCGGCACACACCTATGACCTGGTGGATGACCCAGGAACACCCCCACTCCACCCTGGGACCCTCTGAAAGACAGTCTTGGGTTCTGGTCCAAAGTTCGAGTGGTTCTGCTGTACATTAAAACCATGGAGGTTGCTAGTTTGATCCAGATATTCAATATGAAGATGAATTAAAAAAACAACATATATCAGTTTGGTTTAAAATATGTCAGAAAACTGATCTGCTGTGTGTGTGCAGGGTGTTAAGGAAGAGGTAGTGTGTAAAAACCACCTTATCCTGGGTCAGCACCTCCTCAGAGACCTGCAGGGACGAGACTTTCATCTTTATGGAGGAGAACAACTAAGGGTCAATGTCAACAAGGTAATAAGTGAAGTTCAAACTGAAGACGGGCAGCATTAAACCGTAAAGATGTGTCTATTTCATCTGTTTAATGGCTTAATTTGTTTACTTGAGCTCAGAAATAGCAGCAACAGTGGCAAGAGTTATCCCCATATCCCATCTAAGCTGAACATTTAACCCTTTATTTGTGTTGGCTGCATGCATCCAATTCAAATAGCTAACACCAGGGGCGGCGTTAGGCCCGGCTACTTGGGCTGAAGCCCCGAATGTTTTATGAAAAGCCCCGGATCTAAATCGTGGAAGTAACATGCAGTACCAAAGTCCAACAGAGAGGGCGCAGCTGGCAGTAGTTTGTATACAGCCTGCCTGAGCCTCCACCACTGAAGAAGAAGCCCTTCAGCAGCCGGCTTCTTCTACCCTCTCTGCCTGAAACGCATGAGTGAAGATGGACTTAAGGACGTTTTTTAGACCAAAAGTATGACAGAACCCCAGCTTTGATGAGACTGGTGTTGACTCAGGTTTGTGAGTCTTATTTGAAAATATTTGTTGTGCTGCTGGTTTGCCTAAAGTTAGCTTACTATCAGGTAAAGTTGTTGGAGAAAGAAAGGGAATATTTACTATCATTTCACACTAAACACTAACAGGAACAATACTCTGCCCTGAATATGCTTAATATGTAGCTTCAGATTAAACATTATGTGGTACAAGACATATATATATATATATATATATATATATATATATATATATATATATATATATATATATATATATATATATATATATATATATATATATATATATGTATATGTATATATATATATATATGTATATATATATATATATATATATATGTATATGTATATATATATATATATGTATATATATATATATATATATATATGTATATGTATATATATATGTATATGTATATGTATATGTATGTATATGTATATATATGTATATGTATATGTATATATATATATATGTATATATATATGTATATGTATATATATGTATATGTATATATATTTTTTTATGTATATGTATATATATATATATATATACATATACATATATATATATATATATATATGTATATGTATATATATATGTATATGTATATGTATATATATATATATATATATATATATATATATATATATATATATATATATATATGTATATATATATATATATGTATGTATATATATATATATATACATACATATATATATATATATATATATATATATATATACATATATATATATATGTATGTATATATATGTATGTATATATATATATGTATATATATATATGTATGTATATATATATATATATGTATGTATATATATATATATATATATATATATATATATATATATATATATATATATATATATATATGTATATGTATATATATATATATATATATATATATATATATATATATATATATATGATGTTGACTAGTGCATGTCACGTGTGCGCGCGCGTGTGTGTTAAGCCCCGGATCTTCTTCAGTCCTAAATCCGCCCCTGGCTAACACTAGCATACAAAATCCTGGATGGTACAGCTCCCATCTACCCGAATCCTCTTGTAACGTCTTACATCACAGCTCGGCCGCTCCGGTCATTGAAGGATCGTCGGCTAGCAGTGCTACACCACACTCAGGACAATCCAGACTCTTATCATGTGTCTTTCCACAGATGTGGAATGACCTACCAAGCACTACCAGAACAGGGGCTTTCCGACTACACGCAGGGTGTCTGTGCACGGAGAGTCCTGCGGCAGCAGGACTCCCTACTTCTGACCCTAACCTAACCCTAATCCGCTGTAGCTCGCCATGGGGGAGCCGGTGTGAGTTGACTGTTGGGTATTTTTAAATCCTGAAACTGAACCCTGAAATTAACCACACACAGGAGAGATGTCAGTAGGTTTTTTACGCTGCGGGAGAGTATTGTGTTTAGTAGAACCTGTTTAGTAGGGGTGAGCGAGTACACCACTATCTGTATCTGTATCTGTATCTGTTCAACCAACTAAATTATCCGTATCTGTACTCGGAATGGGTGTGGCCTAACCCGTACGTGGGCGTGGTTTAACGGGAAGTGGGTGTGGTTTACATCAATACATTATTTTAAATCTGAAATTGATATAGATTGATCAAAAGTTGTTTATTTATAAACTATTGTTTATTTGAAAACTATTTACAGAGCAGCCTCAGAATTGAGATTAAATATTTTTGATCACAATAGTAAAGAAACTATTACAGAACAAGTGTTTCAATAAAATCATAACATTAATATTTAAGTGCATGGATTAATACATCTGAACTCATGCAGTAGGAACTAGGAAATATGAAATGCTAGAACCAGACACAACTTTATGTATTATTTTTATTTTAATTTGATTAAACTGATTTTTTTCTTCACGTTCTTGGCATTTTGCCCCACACAGTTAAACAAACAATGTTGATTAAGGTGTGTGTGTCTGAGAGAGATAGAGAAGGTGAGAGGGAGAGAGATGGAGTAAAAAAAAATAAAAAACCCGACCGGAGTGGAGGGAGTGAGAGACTGATGCAGCACGTCAGCTCTGTCTTGTCAAACGCACCATGTAAGTTACGAAAAAAGTAACTTTAAATCTTCAACCGAAAAAGAGGCGAGCTGAAGAAAACCTAGCGAAAACTGAAGAAACGTGAGCAACAGTGAAGCAATCACAGCGAGATCCGTTACTGTCTGTGTGTGTGTGTGTGTGGATGAGCCGGACGGACTGCGCTCCCGGCTGGCTACAGTTTTGTGTGTAGGGAGCATCGACATAATATACGTGGATATCTTCTTTCCATAGCTCCAATATCACGTTTTTGATCCCAAATGGGAGGTGGCCACCACCGCCATTTTGACCGTGTCACAGGTTCCGTCAAGCCCAGACAATTCCATAAAAGGGAAGAGAGGAGGAGCTGAGGGTGTGGCTGTAAGGCTGGGATCGACTGACACCCGGTCGAGCTAGCTACAAGCTCACCTGAAGCTAACCCAAAGCTAACGCGGAGGTGGGAGCTACGCTAACGGAGGTAGCAACCTAGCTACAACCGGAGTTAACTGTGCACAACACCAGAGCTTCTGAGTTAGAGATACGCCGGGCTGACCGCTGGGTAAAACCGGGTGGAAAACATCGGTCTCCCGAGAGCTCCACAAGCCGATAGAGGGAACCCAGCTCCACCAACATGTTATATTTCAACCCATTTTCTAAAGTGCAGCATTATGTTAAATGCACTGGGTTTTACCCTATTACATTTAATTTTCATGGTTAAACAGTACATGTTAAAATCTAAGCTCAGCTCGGCAGTGACCTAAAATACATAAATATAATTTTACTTACCGAAAAAAATGAAGTGGAGACTCCTTGGACGCTCTATTAGTGCAATTAATGCCACAGCAAGTCATTTTGTCCAACAATTGCACAAATAATATCCAAACAAGAATACACACACACAGAAACTCAAAATCCCGGAACAGTTTCCAGGCCAGACCGAGGCTCTACTGAGGCCTTTCCACGGAGCTAGCTCTGTGGTCACGTGGGTCTGATGCTCATTAATTATACAGAATTTTAGGCTTTTAATACACTTAAACAGAAGAGTGAGAAAACAATTCACCCCCCTCAGAGTTGTCATGGTGTAAACTAGATCATTTAAACCAAAAACATGTTCTGGTACCAGGCTGTAAACATGTTTATTTCTGCTGTGAAATTGGTATTTTTAACATGGGAGTCAATGAGGATTTGCTCGCTTCTGACACCAGCCCCTAGTGGATGAGGGTGGAACTGCAATTTTTGGTACTTCCGGGTTGGACTCAATTTTAAAGCCGCATTGTGGGGCTTGGTAGGGAGGGGCGGGCGCTCTATGTGACTGGCCAATCACAGAGCGTGAAGACAGTCAGTTACCCAATGAGGATTTTCCTTCAGCACGATTACAGATATTTACGAGGTTTACTCGTTTCATGCTCGTATTCGTCAAAAATGCTTTATCCGAAAAAGGAAGTCTCAAGTTACAGGGGTGGCTGCTAGCTTCCCTGTTGCCAAGCAGAGCATTCCACAAAGGAAGTCTTAACTGACAGCCAGAAACTCAGTAACCATGGATACCTGTTAGGCAGGCTACTTCACCAACCCCCACAGCATACCACAGCTATGAGGAAAGGAGAAAGCCGCCTGTGGCTTACTTATTAACATATGATTAATTAAAAAAGAACATTTAAGACAGTAATACATTAAAAATCTCCAACATTGACTAATGGGACTTTAAATTTATTCGGATACACTGTCCTTGTGAACAGTGTTTTTTTGGCTGATGATCTTACCATGTTTGACCGTTTTATCCAGGTTTTTGTGTTGAACAGCACTTTGTGATATCTTCGTCTGCAAAAGGTGCGCTAAACAGTTTGAGAACTATTTGTAATTTACAAACACTTCCTGCCTACGAGGCTACAGAAACATAAATATATGTAACATCTGCAATGTTTATATTTAAAGGTTGAAATCAAATAAACAACAACAAAATCGTCAGTGTTTGTGTTAAGGGACGTCTGCAAAGTCAGCCATGTTTTAGAGTTTTTGCTTAAAAGTGGAGATTGTTGTTGGAGGCAAGCTTCAGGGCATGGAAAGTCACCAATCAAAACTCTTATTGAGTTAGTGTGTTACTGTTTGGGTTGGAAGATAGCCACCCGCGACTCTGAATCTGACCCATAAATCACTTTACTGTCTTTGTTAGCATTGTCACACTCACTCTTTTATGGTCCTGAAAACTCAACATGGCCAGCTGTAGAGGGAATCCAGCATTGTGGTCCAATCTTAAGGAAAATCTAATTGTGTTGGTTTCTGCAGAGGCTCATCCTACTGAACAACCCTAGCCAGGTGTACTCCATCATCCAGTCAGACTTGCCAGGGGCTAACGGGATTATCCACATCATTGACCGGCCACTCACGTTGTCTGACACTTCCCGCGAGGAATACCAGGTGAGTTAGAGACTGCTCTCACTCCAGTTTGTGAAGGTGGATGGTGACTGATATCCATTTATGTTCAGTTTTATGACCAGACCATTGGGGAGATTCTGACCAAGGACCAAAAATTCAACCGCTTCCTGTCTTTGGTTGATGTGAGTAAAAAAGAATTTAGTCATTTTCAATATCTCTACACAGAAACTGTTTGTTCTGCAGATTCGAGCTAGAGAAGATCTGAATGCTTTCCCGCTTGACCCTCAGCAATAGGATTTGGATTTGGGGGGGGTTACAACAACATATATGGGCCATTCCCATCTGTACCGGGTCGGCCCCAGCCTGGCCCGGTTGATTCCACACATCCTTGCCTTAAGCCCATGTGGGCTGATTCTACCCACCAATCAGAGGCTTGCTCTAATGGAAGGTGTGAATGTGCTGTCAGCAGTGGGCGTGTTGGCCCTGGTCGGCCTGAAGCAGACCCCCTCGAGAAGAGGGCTGAGAATGAGCCTTGGTTGGCCCGGAAAAATACCAGGCCACCCAGATATGTAAACAACCTACGCTACCCGGCCCGGGCCGACCCGGTACAGATGGGAATGGTCCAATAGTTCCCAAGTGTGGCTACCAGTGAGTGTGATGACTAGCGGGACTTTAACTTTACCACAGGGGCCACCTTAAAGTGCCACCCCACGTTTTCATTGGCCTCATCTGCCCCCTCTTGTAATGTTTCTGGGGACGCTACTGTTTAGTGTCACTAACATATGCTGGCAGCTTTTTCTGCCCTGGCATTTTAACACCTGTAGAGTTTAGGGTATTGAGCATTGCTGTCTTTGTTGGGCATCTTAGTTTTAGTCTTGACGATGAAAATGCGCTTTAGTCTTAGTCAGTTTTAGTCAACTAAAATTCAAAAGGGTTTTAGTCGACAAAGATTTTTGTTTTTAATTTTACAAAACATTAAAGTATTATTCTCTAACAAATGCATTTATAGGTCAGACTCTGAGCTACTGCACTGAGTTTCATACCAACATTTATTTTATGTCTATGGGACACAATCTCAGCTGCCCCAGATTCTGTAAAACAATAATCCCCAGACTGGTATCGGTTGTTTACTTCATTGATAATCATAATAATGTATATAGTTCATTGATGCAGATCTGTGCATCATTCTGTAGAATTCCTCTATAGAAATGTATGATTTTCTTTCCTTAACAGAATGGTCTCTTACACAGAGTTTTCTACACACAATTCATACAGAAATAAAGAAATGTGTTTGTTTCATTTATTATTTGAGTTATCAGACCTCCATCTTGAATGTATATTGTGGGAAAGTCCACCGACTTAAATGCAGTAATGTGTTTCCATATCCTGCAGGGTTGTGAGTTTTCACAGAATTAATATAAATAAGCCAGTTCTGCTCATAAACATTTAGATGGGCCTAAACTGTGATGCTGTAGGGATAAAAAGCAGGAATGTGGCCCGTTATTAGGAACCAGGGAGCAGAGACAATCATCCTGACTTTAAAACCTTAAACCTGTTCACATCAAACCTGTTAAAACCGTCATGTCTCTCATTTATCTGCTCCAACTCATGACTTTTTCAGGAAACACACGGATAAGAAATGTGTTAATATTACGGATGTATTTAAAAGTAACATCGTCGCTCGTAGTGGCGTCAATAAGCGGCTGAGCGCTGCTGAGCCGAGCTGAGTGAAGTTGGCTTCCAACCCCCTCACAAGTCCACGCTGATATAGTGGTTAGTGCTTTGTGATGTGGGTGGGAAGCCAGCTTCACTCAGCTGCTGAGGCTGGTCTACTGAGTAAAGGACAGACAGCAGCAGCTCTGTTACTTTTAACTTCAGTGAGACCGACAGAAATGTACATTTCCAGCTTAGTTTTGTCTAGTCTCGGCTCGTTAACCAAAACTCCCGTTCATCTCGTCAAGTTTTAGTCACCAAAGAGCTATTTTTAGCTCGTCAGCGTCGAGTTTTTGTTATGAAAAAAGGGGCGTCAACGAAATCAATTTGTCATCGTCACGTATTCAGCTGATTTGAGCTCAGTAATCTCACCAGTGCAGAACAAAAGAACACTACCAAGACATTGCTCGTATTAGATATAGCACCTTCAACAGTCCTAGAACCCCCCAAGGCACTTTACAACACAATCATTCAGTCATGCACACACATACACACTGGTGGTGATCTGTGAGCCACAGCTGCCCTGGGGCTCACAGATCACCACTAGCAGGTCACATGGGTGAAGTGTCTTGAACAAGGACACCATGAGCAAGCACTTAACTTCTCTGCCACTGTCGCCCGTAATCATAGTGAGAAATGTGTCCGACCTTGTCTGAATGACCCCCCTTAATGACATTTGTGTTTACCTCTAAAGAACTGTGGGGCACCTCCTCCTCTACGTGGACCAGGTCCATTGACGGTTTTTGTCCCCACCAACGAGGCTGTGGACCGAGCTCGAGACGGGAGCATCCTGTATATGCTGAACGACGTAAGGCTGTTGCTTTTAACCAGAAGGACTGAAAACTTCCAGCTTGTGACTTTCTGTCACACTCAAACCTTAACATGTAGGGTTTAAAGCCCAATGAATACATGATTCAATTCAGTTCACTCATCGTGCCCCAAATCATGGCAAGAGTTGTCTCAAGACACTTCAAGTCAGGTCAAGTCATATTTATTTACAAAGCACCATAGGCATTTCTAGTCTGTTGGGGTTGGGGTGGTGTGTGTGTGTGTGTGTGTGTGTGTGTGTGGGGGGGGGGGGGGGGGGGGGGGGGGGGGGGTCCGTGAAGTCAGAACTGGAAATTCTCCACAGTTCAACATCCTGTGCTGTTGCAGAGCAGCTAAGTACACCTCACAGAGGTTTTTTCCACATGAACAACCAGAAGATGATGGAATATGGCATCAGAGAGCAGGCAGAAACTCCAGCAGGAACAAAAAGCACAGGAACCTGCTCAGTGTATTTTTTTACCATAACGTGGATTTTTATGACTTTCACAAATGTGGGAATGAAACTGTGTTAAAGTGTATAAAACATAGAAATGTATCTTGCTTGGCTGGGCAGCTCTCTGGGTTTGGAGCACCCCTAAACCTCTGATGCTAGACTCGCCCCATGGCAGCTGACCTAAGTGCTGAACAAAGAGCACATAAAATACATAACAGAGATAAAATTCAAAATGTAAAAGGCAGTGAAACACTTAAAACAAGACGGTATTGCTTCACTGGGTAAACATTCCAATACAGCTCAGTTCATGATTGGAATTTATCATCAGAAACTACAAGTTTTTATTACCTTATCTGCGGAAGCCTGTTGTGGCTTTGGTAGATTTTTTCATTAAACCCATATCTTTATTCTGCCATCTTTTTTCACACACAACCAGTAGATTAAAGGGTCAATACTCAACTCAACTTTATTTATAAATCGCGCCTTACAGGCAAAAACATGCCGCCAAGGTGCTACACAGACCAAGTAAATACGTAAAACATTAGGTCCAGAAAATAAAAACATTGGATCACATGATGCAGACAAAAAACTGCAGTTAATGCATGAATCACTTTAAGTAAAACACTAAAAACTAGTTAGAAAGATTAAAAGACAGATAATAAAAGTAGGTTTCTAGCCTTGCCCTAAAAACCGCCACAGAGGTGGAGGCCCTTATGCTGAGAGGAGGCTCTTTCCAAAGCTAGGACCTGCCACAGCAAAGGCCCTATCACCACGCGTCTTTAGGCACGTTCGTGGGACCGAGAGGAGCATGAGGTTCTCCAAGCGGAATGACGGTGCAGGGGTGTGCAGTTAAAGCAATGACTAGGTTTACATGCAGCCAATATCCGGGTTATGATCGGGCTAAGGTCGGTATTTGGGTTTCTGAGTTGATCAGAATAACCCGTTTAAATCGAATCACTTTTATTGTCACGTCACATGTGCAGGTACACTGGTACAGTACATGCGAGTGAAATTCTTGTAAAAAAAAAAAAAACAACAACAACAATGCACCGCCCTCAGGGTTGGAGCTTCCCGTTTTAGCTTCTGTCTGTAGGCAGGTATAAGCAGGATGAGCGGTGATCTGATTGGCCGAATGGGGCGCGGGGGAGGGCTTTGTACGCATCTCGGAAAGAGGTGTAGCAGTTGTCGAGTAGCCGGTAGGGATGAGCGAGTACACCACTATCTGTATCTGTATCTGTATCTGTTCAACCAACTAAATTATCTGTATCTGTATCTGTACTCGGAATGGGCGTGACATAACCCGGAAGTGGGCGTGGTTTAACCGGAAGTGGGTGTGGTTTACATCAATGTATTATTTTAAGTCTGAAATTGATATGGAATGATAAGAAGTTGCTATGTGTATTGTTTATTTGAAAACTATTTACAGAGCAGCCTCAGAATTGAGATTAAATATTTTTGATCACAATAGTAAAGAAACTATTACAGAACAAGTGTTTCAATAAAATCAGAACATTATTATTTAAGTGCATGAATTAATGCATCTGAACTCATGCAGTAGGAACTAGGAAATATGAAACGCTAGAACCAGACACAACTTTATATATATTTTTTATTTAATTTGATTAAACTGATTTTTTTCTTAACGTTCTTGGCATTTTCCACACAAAGTTAAACAAAACAATGTTGATTAATGTGTGTGTGTGTGTGTGTGTGTGTGTGTGTGTGTCGTGTGAGAGAGAGAGAGAGAGAGAGAGAGAGAGAGAGAGAGAGGAGAGAGAGAGAGAGAGAGAGAGAGAGAGAGAGAGGAGAGAGAGAGAGAGAGAGAGAGAGAGAGAGAGAGAGAGAGGAGAGGAGAGAGGAGAGAGAGAGAGAGAGAAGGAGAGAGAGAGAGAGTCGAGAGAGTTAAAAAAAAAAAAAAAAACCGGAGCGGAGGTAGTGACAACAGCACGTCAGCTCTGTCTTGTCAAACGCACCATGTCAGTTACGAAAAAAGTAACTTTAAATATTCAAGCCAAAAAAGAGGCGAGCTGAAGAAAACCTAGGGAAAACTGAAGAAACGTGAGAAACAGTGAAGCAAGCACAGTGAGATCCGTTACTGTCTGTGTGTGTGCGTGGATGAGCCGGCCGGACCGACTGCGCTCCAGGTCGGCTAGAGAGTTTTGTAAGTAGGGAGGGGCGGGCGCTCTATGTGACTGGCCTATCACAGAGCGTGAAGACAGTCAGTTACCCAATGAAGATTTTCCTTCAGCACGATTACAGATAATGACTCGTTTTACTCGTTTCATGCTCGTATTCGTCAAAAATGCGTTATCCGTACCGGATACTCGTCTGAAACGAGTATCCGGCTCATCCCTAGTAGCCGGTCTCCACGTGTATTGAAATGGATGTGTTGGTGTAGTTTTGGTGAGACTTTCTTCAGGTTACCCTTATTAAAGTCCCCGGTCGTAATAAACGCCGCCTCTGGGTGTGCGGTTTCCTCATTGCTGATCGCGCTGTACAGTTCTCTGAGTGCTCGGTCAGTGTCGGCTTGTGGGGGAATGTAAACAGCCGTCATCATCACCGCTGTGAATTCTCTCGGTAGCCAAAATGGGCGACACTTAATCATCAGGTACTCCAGGTCCGGAGAGCAGAAGGATTTGACCGTTCTGCTGGTTTGGTTTCAGCTAATATAAAGGAATCAGGAGAAGGGTTTATTATGGCTTCCCTTCTTGGCAACAAGGTCATAGAGCAGTGTGTTAATCTGGTTTGGAGGCTAGTACTGGTAAGGTGTGTCACACAGTACTCCAGACAGGGGGAACAGCCTGGACACTTCCGTGTGACGATCTTTGACCTTACATTAGAGACATAACAGAATTGTTGTCCTTTGGCACACTACACAGGAAACAGGAAAGGGAAAGACTCAAGGTCAAACACGAACACGGGGTGACTCACCAACATACAACCAACTGAAAGGCCAAGTGATCGTCATGGTATGACCCTGGTCAGCCGCAGCCAAGCGCAGGCTTTCCCCAAGAGAACGAGACATGAGAGAAATGTCTGAATCTGTGTTTAAGGTGTCCAGAGTCACAGGGATGTGAGGTTTACATGTGGGATCTTTTCAGATGATCCCACATAGAAGCTTAAGTTTTCAGGTTTGTCCAGTGGGAAAGGGTAACTTGACCCGCCGACAGGTGTAGAGGATGGTCAAAGACTGAAACTGGTGGATGCGACCTCACCAGACCGCACTGGGGGGGAGGGGGCATGGGTGTCCCGAGAGGGACAGGTTCAATAAATCTTCTGTACGTTCATTCTGTGTCTCTTTTTTAACTTGTATTTCTTGGTTCTTTCTTTACACACAGAGAAGATAAAGGTTTCCTTTAACCATATTCGTTATAATTTTGGCTATTCCCTGTAGCCTTTATCAGAGCTGTGACGATGCGGGTGGTGACACTTCCTTTTCCTTTTATTGGCGGGCAACAGAGAAAAGTGTTGCCCTCTGCTGATGGAATGCCTGTGGGTCTTCAACGCAAGCTTGTTTGATGGACATAGCCATTTTTGTCCATGTCAGCAGAGAAGATAGGGCCCGGAAGGTTGGTTGGGGACCACACTTAGTCTGGCGGATGACCAAGCAAAGCCTGGCGGCCCACCTGGCTTATAAAGCGCTGGGGGAATCCCTGCTCTTCATGTGCACATTCATCTTGCAAAACCATCTGAAATCACCAGAAGACATGGTAATTGCCACGTGAATGAATCAATGAAGCTTGAGCGAATTGTTGTTTTCCAGGCGCACATGGTATGGTACACATCATTTGAGTTGTTACTGTGATTGGCTAAAGACAAAATATGGTAGCCATTGCCAGTCAGGCACTACCTTGCGCGTCCTCCAATCAGCTCAAAATATTCTACTAGATAGCCTCCCTCTTTCAGACGGTTTCTGCTGCAGAGATTTCAGATCGAAATGTGTAGACTCCACATGGGGCAGGGTACACATGGAGATCTGGCTGCTGCCAGGTTAGTTTTGATTGGCAAGAGCTTTATCTGATAAAGCAGACCAGTTTCTTATTTTTATTTTATTTATTTATTTATTTTTTACCAGACAACGTTTTTACCTAATTTCTTTCTTTTTTTTTTTTTGCAGGCTAAATCTAAACTACAGGAGCTGCTCAGACACCATGTTTTCTCCCATGCCTCGGTAATGTTTACTTTATACATTCACTTCTTCTCTTTACAGAATCAACAACAAATTTTAACATCATAATTTTATTGTTACATGTACTTCTTTAGCATCATCAGAGATTAAAACAAAGTACTAGAAATGCTTTAAGACTGAAAGGTCACAGCCTGATATTTCAAAGGTCAACACATTCTTGAATGCAGCACCAGTGATAGGACAGAATCCCCAAGATCTGAGCCAGTCAGAGGCAAAGGGCATGGCCAAAGCTTGCTGCATGCTAAAGTTGCAATTGATACCGAGAAATAACCTTAACACAACCTCACCCTGATATGAACTTTTTTTTATTGATTGTTAGAACCAGTTCTGCCATTTTGCCCAGTATAAAGCATCTAAACAACACATGTGAAGCCTGCAGGCTTCTCACAGACCCATGACTGACCAGTCAAGAGTATTACAAGATTCTGACCCTGCTCAATGTTTTACAGAGAAAAAGCCACTAGTACCTAGGTTGGAGATTCATTCATTCATTCAATTTATTCATAAAACACTTCACACACACACACAAAGTGACCAAAGTCATGTACGCGATCCAAGCCAGTCATTAAAATTCCAACACCAAAAGCAAAAGAAAATAACAAAAAGACCATTGGTAAGGAAAACAGGCTGAGTTCTCCTCATCTAGTATTAAAAGCAAAGCTAAAAATCATCCATCGTTGCAGCTATCGTAATAGTTAAAGGGAGATTGTTCCACAGATTGGGAGCTACAGTTGAAAAAGCTCTGTCTCCCTGGGTCACAAGGCAAGCCCTGGGAAAATCTAAGAGTAGACAGCATTCCGGTTTCGAACCTCTCTTGGAAACATGCCTGTGTAGTAGCTCTGAGAGGTGTGAAGGTGACTGACGACTTAAGAGAATATTTAAAAACCAAGATTGTATTCTTAAAAGTGTAACGAGCAGACCGCTTGCTCGGTTGTGGGTCTGGCCCTCCATAGTCACTTTGTTCAATCCTAATTGTATATTTTAAATATAGTGTTCAAAATCATTGTTAATATTTTAAAACAAAGCAGCCGTGCTTACAGTCTATACCTTTAATCCTCAGCTCGGCCTGTTAGCGATGACTGGTGGAGCAAGAACAAAGAAAATTCCCTCAATTAAGCCAAGCTTCTAGACTGAGGACTAGATCCACCAGTGCAGACTTTTCCTGGAGGTTTCAGATTCCCAGAGTTAAAGGAGGTCCTCGATTCCTGTCCCAGAACTCCCTACAACCCAACGGGGTTTGCAGGTTTCTGATGGATCACCACAGGTTTTCTGACATGCTGCAAAGGAAAAGAGAAAAATACACACACTCCTTAGATGAGATGTTCTGACCCGAATGTGGCTCAGATCTTTTTAATCTTGTAGAGAAGTCAGCAGAGGGACCCAAACGAGCCGGCGGGGCGATCAGGAGTCAAAGATGATCGGTCTTCTCCTCTGGCCCAAACTGTTCTGTGTACCATTTTTATGCAGACATTAGGTTCCACCTTATGGGTGGTCTCATAATAATTTCACTCTGAATAATTATGCATCTTCGCTGTGTGAAAGAACCCTGATAGGGGAGGTTTTGAAGATCAACATAAACATTTTCTGCTGAGAGACTCAAGCAAGCAGGAGATCGTTAGGCCTATTCTGTAAGGAGTTAACCCGATAAGAGCAAAGGCCTCAGCTTTCTGTGGGTAGGTGTGTCTATTCTGTGTTCAGGGTTAGGCTTAGATTAGTGACTCTCCTTTAATGAGCTGCACATATTTCTAACAGCCTTCATTGGCATGAAGAATAAAAACAACTTTTTAACTATACAAGACATTTTTCTCACTGAGTACAAATGGACAAACTGTGTGTGGGTATATGTGTCCACTTGTAATTTCACACAGACTCAGTAGCACAGAGAAGATCTTCTCACAACAAAAATCAATCCTAAACTGTACTGGCAGCCAGTGCAGGGAGGACAGGGTAGGGGTGATTCAAGTCTCGACCCCTCTCTCCATAGCAGCTTCAGACCCATCTCTAAACTTCCATTCATCTCCAAGATCTTGGAAAAGGTTGTGGCTAAACAACTCACAGCTGCTCTTGATGAACATAACATCTATGATAGCTTCCAGTCAGGTTTTCGTAGAGCTCATTCTACTGAAACAGCTCTTCTTAGGGTCTCTAATGACCTTCTGACTCACAGTGATGCAGGGGACTGTTCTGTTCTGGTCCTGCTGGACCTGACTGCAGCCTTTGACACTGTTGACCATCACCTGCTACTGGAGAGGCTGAGAGACTGGGTAGGCCTATCAGGATCTGCTCTGGAGTGGTTCTCCTCTTATCTTTCTGAGCGTTTCTTTTCTGTGGCCGTCTCCAAGTTTAGGTCCTCCACCACCTCTCTTACCCATGGTGTCCCACAAGGTTCTGTGCTGGGGCCTCTGCTCTTCCTCCTCTATCTGCTTCCTCTTCAGCACACCCTGAGCTCCTTCAAAGGAATCTCCTACCATCTTTATGCAGATGACATCCAACTGTACATCTCCTTTAAGCCCCATGAGATGTCTAAGCTGCAGCTGTTACACACCTGCTTAGACTCTATCAAAACCTGGATGGTGGGAGCTTTCTTCAGCTGAATGAAGATAAGACTGAGATCCTCATCTGTGCCCCAGACAAGCTGGTTCCCAAAGTCAGAGACTCTCTTGGTCAGCTTGCTTCCCACACCAAACCTTCTGTCAGGAATCTTGGCGTGACCTTTGACCCAGCTCTCACCCTGGAGTCTCATGTCAGTTCTCTTGTTGGCTCTTCCTTCTTCCATCTCAGGAACGTTGCTAAGCTGAGTCCCATTCTGTCCCGCTCTGAACTTGAGACAGTTCTCCACACCTTCATCTCCTCACGCTTAGACTACTGTAACTCTCTTTTCACGTGTCTGAGCAGAACCTCCCTGAACCGTCTACAGGTGGTTCAGAACGCCTGTGCTCGGCTTCTGACCAAGTCCTCCAAACACACCCACATCACCCCGCTTCTCCTCCAGCTTCACTGGCTGCCAGTCAACTTCAGGGTTCATTTCAAGATCCTGGTTCTGGTCTTTAGGGCCTTACATTGACAAGCACCATCTTACATTGGTGATCTTCTTAATCCCTACACCCCCAGCAGGCCCCTGAGGTCCAGTGACCAAAGCCTACTGGTTGTGCAGCACCAGGCTAAAGGTCAAAGGTGACAGATCATCTGCTGCTGTGGCCCCCAGACTCTGGACCTCTCTCCCCCTGAGCCTGAGATGAGTGGACTCAGTGGTCTCCTTTAAAAAGCAGCTGAAGACTCACTTGTTCAGGCTTTTGTATGACCTTCTTCACCCTCTTCTTGTTCTGCTCTCCCCACCTATTCCACCTTCCTCAGCATCCACTGATTTCCCTCTTTCCTGTTCTCTCTTTCTCTCTTCCTTTACATTTTTAATCACAATTGTCAATTTTTTGCTCATTTTAAATATATACCGTAAATCCTCTAATACAGGCCTGTGTTCGATTAACGGCCGGGTCTCATATTTTGGCCGGTGTCAGAGTCGGCGGAGGTGAATAATGGCCGGTCTCTTATTGTGGCCGGGTGGAATGTGGTAACAAGCAAGTACGGGGGGCGGTTGTGTCATCGTCTAACTTTTGATTTGCCAGTGATAGACCGCAACGGTAACTTTAACCGTGCGGAGACGAAGAGGAGGCGAAAATTTGATATCATGTTCAAAGATAACGTGCTGATTATGCTGCAGAACACTCTGGGAGCAGTAGCAGGGGTTGTATGAACTAGTCGACTTCACTATAGTGACTTTTTATGCCTGTCATCAACTAGTCGCTGTCACGTGATAATGACCGGCAAGATGCAGCCCTCGGAAAAGACAGCAGCCTGCTGTCAGCAGGTGACAAGCTCCTGCGCGTCGGGGGGGCAACGCGCTGTGCCAGAGCGTCGGTACTGACACGCGATCGTTCATGTCGGTTCATTTCCTTTAATGTTTTCTGTCTTTTATTTGCGCCTGATGCGTTTCGCTGCTGTGGAGCGGGGCGCATCACCTGTTTTGTCCTCCGGTGACGCACCGATCACTGATGCGGCCACCGAGCAGCGAGAACTCCGCTGTTTTAGCGGTCGGTAGATCTTTTAGAACTGCAGTTCAAAGGTAACTCATGAGGTGAATATATATGAACCCAGGTAGCAGTTTTTCTTTAGGATTGAGAGGAGATGCAGGAAGATAATAAACAGACAGGACAGAAAAATAGTCAAATAAAAACAAGTTAGTTTTTGTACCTGCTGGTTGCAACAAACAGACACCATTGAAGGTAATCAGAAGTGAGGAACAGAAAATGAAATAATTATTTTAATGTTTAGAGCAGCAGGAACTCCGAGAGGCTGCAGGCGCATCAGTGAGTTTGCAGCCGCTGCTCAGGGGGAGGGGGGAGATGGCTGAAGCAGGGGGAGGGGGGAGAGGGCTGAAGCAGGGGGAGGGGGGAGAGGGCTGAAGCAGAAACTACCGTTGTTTAAAGAAATGTGTTTAACTTTGAAAATGTGGGCGCACTTTTAATTGTCAAAAACTCCAGCGAACCATTAGTTCATTTTGGTCAAATAGAAATTGAGGCCTGCCTCTAATTCTGGTCCTCCTTCCAATAAAGGCCTGGAGCTTGATGAGCTTGAGTCAAATACAGGCCCGGGCCTGTATTAGAGGATTTACGGTATTTTAATCATTTTCTAAATTCTTTTTTAAATTTTACATTTTTTGATTTTGTGAAGCACCTCGTGATTTTTATCTTGAGAGGCGCTATAGAAGAGACATTTTCTTCTTCTTCATCATCTTCTTCAATTCAGTTCAGTTTATTTATAAAGCTCCAAACTACAAAGACTTGCCTCAAGGCACTTCACCTAGTAAACATTCCAACACAGGTCAGGTCATTAAGCCAATCAGTAAAAAGTTTTCTATATAAAGGAACCCAGCAGGTTGCATCAAGTTTACAGCAGTCCTCATACTAAGCAAGCATGCAGCGACAGTGGAGAGGAAAACTCCATTTTAACAGGAAGAAACCTCCAGAGAATCCCGGCTCAGTATAAGCAGCCATCCTCCACGACTCACTGGGGATCGAGAAGACAGAGCACACACACACACACACGCACGCACGCACGCACGCACGCACGCACACACACACTTCAATGGTTATATTGTGATTTCTTAGTAAATGTTCTATTTGGTGAAAGATAAACTTTATTGTATTTATCCTAGAGAATCTGATTAAACGGGTAAACTAGTAGTAGCACTTTCAATGTCAAAGAGAGTAAAACGTTATTATCAGGAGAAGGAGAATGCTTAAGTGGTTAGCAGCAGTGTGCTAGTCGATGGCCCCCTCCATGAGGCCACCACAGCTCAGCAGAACATCGTTGTAGCTTCTTCTGGGGAGAAAAACACTTAGAGAGAAAATAAAGTTAACAGCTGAAATAGCAGGAAGTAATACAGTTAAAGAGCAGATTGTAGAAGAAAGTAGTAGAGTGTGAGAAGTGGTCAGTGTATCCTCTAGCAGTCTAAGCCTATAGCAGCATAACTACAGAGATAACTCTGGATAATCTATCCTATTTAGATGGAGGCATGTTGGAGGCAGGGCAAGGGAGAGCCGTCTTTACCGACTGTACACTCCACCTCCCTCTACTCCCCCACTTGTCCAGATCTAGGCTAACATCAGATTTTAACCATAGGCCCTATCCAATAAAAATGTTTTAAGCCTAGTCTTAAAAGTAGACAAGGTGTCTGCCTCACGGACTAAGGCTGGGAGCTGGTTCCACAGGAGAGGAGCCTGATAGCTAAAAGATCTGCCTCCCATCCTAATTTTAGATATTCTGGGATCCACCAGTAAACCTGCAGTCTGTCTGCACATGTAGATTGATTGGATGAATAATAATAATAATAATAATAATAATAATAATAATAATAATAATAGTGATAATGATGATGATGATGATTAAATGAGTTTGGGGTTTATTCAGTCAAACTTGTATTTTTCTTTACTTAACTTCAGTTTTTTTAAGTTCAGTTTTTGGTTTTGGTACCTCAGAGACTTGAAGCATTTAAAAATGTTTGTTCCCATTAATCAGATTTTTTTTCAGTTTCAAGTTAAGTTTGATTAATTAACCTGCACATTTACTTTTATTTATTATTTTCTTCAGCTGACAGTAGATGAAATGGCTACTCTTCCTCATATTCAAACAATGGCCAATCAGCTGGTTTCCATCACCTTGTCTGACAACGTGAGTATGTCTCAGTAAATCATCCATCCATAGAGCTGGTCCAGTGTTCCCATATCAATTCAGTTTATTTACATAGCGTCAAACCACAACCATGATGAAAACCATGTTGCTCTTACTGAATCTGAAGTTTGACAATTCAGTGAATCTTCCTTTCCAGAACCCCTGGATAGACCGTAGCAGGCAGGTTCTACCTACTGTGATCCCCCTGTAGTTGGAACCAGTTTCAGCGCTTTGCCCAAGAGCATTGTGTACTGTGTGTAGGGCACCAAATGGCACCAGGAGAGCACCAACCCATCTGGTTTATGACAATAAATCAATGGTGAGACCCCCTGGCTAAATCACTGGACATCACGGAGCGGATCTGCCAACTCCCCCCCCCCCCCCCAATACCAATGAAGACCGCTGACAAACAGTGCATACGACACCTGCATCTTAGACAATTAGGCCCTTATATTAGGTTTGGAGGGTTAGTGGATAAAGTATCTGCCAGACGTCTTGTTTTGTTGTGTCCTGACCGTGCTTTGATTCCGTGTCGGCAGTAATTTATTTTATACTTTTTAGCTACGCTTCTTGCCAGTGTTATGTTTTTAACTCTTTATTGGTAAACTGTTTAAAATAGCAGGACTAATTTTTAAAAACTTTTTTACTCACTTTATTTATTTATTTATTTAGTTCTGGTGTTATAGTTCATATATTGGCAACCATCCAAACAGGCATCCACTGTGATCACTCTAAACAAAGCGATCAAAGGGCTTGGATCTACAGCTGTTTCCACATATTCTAGAAAGTGCATCAAAAATGGAACTTTAATATCCATACAGCTTTCCATACAGGTCCAAAACATGTGGAGAAGCGAGGCAGGAGACTGTCAAAGTCTGATTTAATCCTAGTCTATGAGACAAGTAATCGCTAGAATTTAGCCAATAAATCTGAGGTAACACTTTGCTTTGACTTCTGTGGGTAGCTTCACTTTCATATATTGAGTGTAAAATAACTTAAATTAAAAGCTATAAAATACTTAGAAAAGTTGGGTAAAATTTACCTCACATTCATGTTTTTTTAATCTATTCAACAGCTACTTATTCGTTGATATTGGGTAAAATTATCTCTTGCTTGCTAGTAGGTAATACCTGATAAATACTAATGTTTAATTAATATTAAAAAGTATAAATACACCCAAAAAGCTACTCAATTACAGCAACACGAGTAAACACAAGTCATTACTTTCCACCTCTGAATGTAAACATGTCAGATTATAGCCAGGGCTTATTTCCATCTCCAGTCCCTTGGCAGGCTAATGCCAACCACACGCACATTTTAAAAAGGTTGTAAACAATACCAGAATAAAATACAGTTGCATGGTTAACAGAGAGCATAAGGTCAAATTTAGGAGGTGGGGCCTTGGTGCCTTACGCCTGGGTGAGGGGACACGGTTTCCATTTCCAGTCCAGTCCGACGTTTTATGTAGAGCACATGTAAAAGAGAAACAGCTGACCTAGGTGCTGAACACAAAACACGACAAAATGTGAAATGTGTGTGTGTTATTCATTGTAGGGGCTGCAGTTTGTCTGATCCCTCACCTTAGAGGGTTTTCGTAGATCTAAGTTCAGATTTACTGATTCCACATGCGTGTGTGTGTGTGTGTGTGTGTGTGTGTGTCCTCCACATGTGTGCATTACCACCGCTCATGTAGACGGTAAAGGAGTACAACAATGACCAAGAATGCAAAAATAAAAAGGACACTACAGTATGTAGTACTATGTAGACATTGTGGATGGGGGTTTGAAACATTGTGGTAGTAATAATATTTTAAAAGTATCAGCTGTTCTGCTACGACTACTATTTACTGTCCAAGTGACGGATATCTTTAACAGGCTAGCACGCATGTACAAATGTACCTAGATCAGATGAATTCTGCATGGAGTCCTGACCATAGAGTGATGTGGCTGGGTGACTCATGACATCATGATGTCATATGACAGCATCTAACACCTGTTTGTGCTTCATCCTGAAGGGTCAGATCATGCTGGGGGAGAAGCTCATCCCTCTGGCCACCACAAACATCATGGCGTCTAATGGAGTCATCCACATGATTGACGGGCTGCTTTACCCGACCTCCATCCTGCCCATCCTTCCTCACCGCTGTGATGTGACTGACAGTAAAATCATCATGGTGAGCAGTTGGGACAAACCATTAGATAGTCCTTCTCTAGTCACTTGTTAACTAACTCGGCTGCTCCCACCTGAACAAAGAGGGCTGAACATACTGCAGAGGGTGTCTAACGGCTTGTTTTGATGCTTTCAGGGACCGTGCGTTCACTGCAGCTTCCTCAAGGAGACTCGGTGTCCAGAAGGCAGTGTTGAGCTGGTAAATGATTCAGCTGAAGCTCTGACTCACTGTGGGTTGACTAGTTTTTAGGCAGGTTTTGGGTTTTCATGGAGCCGCGCAATTTATCTTCTTCTTTTCATGCAGAACAAAGTGATCATGGTATTCATGATGTGAAAAATAATTAATGAAAGAATAAAAGAGATACATATTTGAGTCAATGACCTTTTAAATCCAGATCAATAAAAGAAACGTGGTCATCTCTTAAGTCGAAAGCATTACCATGGTGCGTTGCCATGGTGATGTTGTTCCGGGGCTCGCTGCCTTGCGGCACCAACGCCGCAGATGGCTGCGTCTGGGCCGTTTCATAAGTAATGTTGTTTACACGAGCGAGGTTCACAGCGCAGAGGTGCAGCTGAGGATAATTGTCGTTAGCGCCAGAGCTTAATTTCAGCCTGTCTTATTTTGAAACAACGCATTCCAGTAACTGTCTGCTAGGATCAGTGTTGCCAACGACTTTTCAACCCCCCTCAGCACCGAGCGACACAATCAGCAACATTTCTGAGGGCTGCTTGTTACTCTCTGTAGAACTTTCTCGTAGATATTTCCTGCAGATCAGCAACAAAAAACCATTTGCACTCAGAACCGTTCTTCCAGGAGCAAGGAAAGAGAATGACCTGCGCACAGAGTTAAATCGACGGACTGACCAGTCATAAACCTGTCGGCTGGTCTGACGAGGACGGTACAGCTGCATAACGGGGCTGTGTTGCATCTGCTGCTGCCGCAGACTGATGCTTCTACCGGAGACGGCGCAGGCAAGAATCTTACAGCCGAAACACACCAGACGCGGAGGCGCGACAACGCGCCGCGAAGCGCCTTGGAAGCACTGGCTCTTCTAATAATAATAATAATAATAATAATAATAATAATAATAATGCATAGAACTTACATAGCGCTTTTCTAGACACCCAAAGACGCTTTCACACACTCTCACATTCACACACTGCTAGTGATGGTAAGCTACTTGTAGCCACAGCCGCCCACTAACACAGGCAAGTTGGGTGAAGTGTCTTGCCCAAGGACACAACAGCAGGCGGGAGCTGGAATCGAACCCATGACCCTCCGATCATGAGGCAATCCGCTCTACCACCTGAGCTACTGCTGACCCACATAATTACACACACACACAGACACACACAGCAAGGGAACAGGGGTTGGGGGTTGGGAAACCGTAGGTGTGAGCAGACGCCCTCGTTGAAAATTCTTGCCTGATGTGAACAGCGGAGGAAGAGACAGCGCACGAATCCACCTCGCGGTGCTTCGCAGCTGGTGTGTTCCGGGCATAAGTCTCCGGTTTTGCAGTCGCCAGGAAATCTGGCCTTTCCTGTTTTTGGCAACTAAAGTCAGCAGGAGTTGGAACTACCGTCCTGTTAACACACGCATCTGATCTCCTTCAGTGACGCAGGGATGGTTTTATCATGAGACACTGCCCCCCTTTTGCTCGGTGCGCTATTATCACGATCTAGAGAGAGAGAAAAGACAACAAAGTAGTGGAGAAACTAAAAGGGGAAAAAGCTTCTTTTCAACAAAATGCTGGTAACGCACAAATGTGACAGAGTTTGTGAGAATGGGGAGAGCAGAAAGTCTGAGCTGTGTCTTATAAAAGAACAACACCAAATCTGCCTTAAAATCACTTTATTTACAATTTATTTTACACATCAAAGCAATTTGGGCTGTTTTAATCATATTAATGAATTATTTTAACTAATGATATAGTTTTTATTTTCCTCCCTTTTAATCCTAAGAAAAAATAACATCAACATTTCTGAGAAACAAAATACTTTATCTCGCCTCACCTTCCTCCACTTACCAGAGTCCGGGTCGCGGGATCAGCATCCAAAGTAGGGCCTCCCAGGCAATCCTCTCCCGGCCACGTCCGCCAGCTCCTCAGCTGGGACACCCAGGCGCTCGCTGGCCAACCTAGAGACACATTTCCTCCAGGTAGTCCTGGGTTGACCCGGGGGCCTCCTGCCGAGAGGACGTGCCCAAAACACCTCCCAGGGAGGTGTCCAGGGGGCATCCTGATCAGATGACCGAACCACCTGAACTGGCTCCGTTTGATGTGAAGGAGCAGCGGCTCTACTATGAGTCCCACCTGAAGGTCTGAGTTCCTTACCCAATCCCTAAGGTTGAGCCCAGCCACCCTGTGAAGGAAACTCATTTCGGCTGCGTGTAGCTGTGATCTTGTTCACACACACACACACACATATATATATATATATATATATATGAACAATTAATATTAAAAATTAATAAATAAATTTATTTATTTATATATATACATGTATATGTGTGTGTGTTGGTTTTTTTTGGATGTTGAGGGGTAAATGAATGCCGTTGTGGCGTAATGACGTCATTAGTATGCAAATTTGCATGTGACGTTATCTGTCAACGTCTGGGTGAACTTCAGCTACCTTCTGTTGTAGGCAGTTGGCAACGCTGGTTAGGATCCGGCAATTGTTCCGGAGTCGGTACAAGATCGGCTCGGGTGCAAGATCGGCTCGGGGTCCTTCGACTGCCAATGACGTCAAAGTACGGCAAACCCACTCGGACAAAATACACTACACATCTATACTGTTGGACAGAATTTAGCAGTTTCGTTATTAAAATAATGTTTCTTACGACGTAAGTTTGTGTTTATAATGCTATTAGTAAAATAAAACACTATATTTTACTCATAATGTTGAACTCCTCTTTGAGCACATCCCTTGAAGAATCATAGGTATTAGCAACACCTGTGAAATCTGTTAACTATGGGTTTTTCCATGTATATTAGCATTAGCATTCCTATGGGTTTTTCCATGTATATTAGCATTAGCATTCTTATGGGTTTTTCCATGTATATTAGCATTAGCATTCTTATGGGTTTTTCCATGTATATTAGCATTAGCATTCTTATGGGTTTTTCCATGTATATTAGCATTAGCATTCTTATGGGTTTTTCCATGTATATTAGCATTAGCATTCTTATGGGTTTTTCCATGTATATTAGCATTGCGCTAACCACTCGCTGCCAAATTGCAGCCTTTGAGATTAGAAAATCTCCTTTTGTCACATCGCAATTTAATTGCACATGCAGTTAATCGTTCAGCCCTAATATACATGCAGCTCTATGCTAAAAGTGTATTTTCAAAGAGGTAATGATGGATTTCTTTGTAAAAGTTGTCCATCTTTCCAATAGAAAGATTTGCCTGGACCAACGTAACGTGATAACAACGTAACGTGATTACGTAATTCCGTAAGGTTCATGTTCAGCCAATCAACTACTCAAACGTCATCGGCAGTCGACGGACCCCGAGCCAATTTTGCACCCGAGCAGATCTTGTACCGACACCGGCTCACTTTTAAGCTAACAAGCCTTTAGCTTGGCGCCAATGTTAGAAGTACAAAACAAGAAAATGCAACTTTAGAACTTGCGGGGTTTGGGGGCCACAAAGAGGGGGCCGCCTATCGAGTACCACTGAATTATACCTTTTCCAATGCCCCTTCGTATAATCCATGCATGTGCATGCAAACTAATAATAAGACGAAGAAGAATCCTGATTTTAAACATCATGGTGTTTGTAAATGTGATTTAGTAAAGTTTAGCTTTGTTAAAATTCTGATGTGTGTGTGTGTGTGTGTGTGTGTGTGTGTGTGTGTGTGTGTGTGTGTCTTCAGCACAGCCATCAGACAGGATGTGAATACACCCAACTTACTCTTAAATACACCAGCAGTAAAGGCTGCGCCAAATACTGCAACACAACCAGACAGGTGAGAAAAACGAGACACCGTTGTTTGCTGGTTCAGATCTGCAGGGTTACAAACTCAGAGTTAGAAGTGGAGCCCCCTTGTGGATGGTGTCTAACACAGATCCAGGTCTAGGTCCGAAGGGAGACTCTGCACTAGGGTGGTGTGATGGGACACGATATTCGCCTGTCGATGATGGGCTGAGCTGTTTATTTATTTGTTTGTTTTTGTGCCCGTAAGTTTGTTAATAACTCATGGTGCACAGATGTTTTACACCTTACACACAGAGAGCATCGCAGTGGTAACACAATCAATCAAGAAAATGTCTCCATCTGAGCATTCTCTCACACGTTCTCCGCACGCCGCTGCCGACGGTACGTGAAAACCATCCGTCTTCCAGAGAGTCTGGTAGACTTTTGGTTACTTGATTAGGAAAAATGTTTCCTGATTTTAAAACTTTGGCTGAAGTAGCTCGCGTTATGAGGCACCTGCTTTCAATCCAGCATGGCAGACAGAGTGTGAGTTCATCCAGAATCTGTCTGAGACCCAGAACTTCGTGACTACAGCCTCCTGAGCAAGCTCCCTAGAGGCATTCGATGACGCACAATCAGGTGACCAGGTCCGAAGGGATGCGTTTGGGCCGCAGCAGGTAAAATTGAAGTGAAATCATGAAATTGCATTGTTAATATTGTTACTGCCCAGATAGCAAAAATGATTTGGCCCTGATCTGGAGCTGCACTGTGTGGCCCGGATCTGGGCCAACGTCCTTTTGCACACCGGGCCAATACTGGTGTGGATCCTTCATTCTAAATCAGGGCTACACTGGACCAGCACTGGGCCTGAAGCACCCTTTTCAGCTTGTTTGGACCAAATATGAATTTAAAATGAATGGAAATGTAATGGTATTATGGGATACCTATTTGTTATTAGTTTAAAAATGAAAGTGATGAGGAAAATGGATCACGCGACCTCTGGCTCCTCCGAGTGCATCCAAACGCAGCTGCGGTTCCTTCCACTTCCTACTCAAACTCAGAAGAAGAAACCAAGAAGGGCATGTTCAGAAGGAAGAAATCTTTTGTTTAAGTAAAATACCACAATGGTGGACACAGCAAAGACACAAAGACGAAGCTTCGTTGTTACACCACAACAAGACGGGCCGTTTCTGCGTCACTCTAGTCAACAAAATAACTCAAACTAAATTCAGTAAAACGTAATGAAGATCCAAAAGTCTCTTCCAGAAGACCTATGCACTGAGCTTCCATTAAACCCGTCCATGTTTGGGGTTCTGTGTTTGCAAATGAGCCCGTGCATCATTACACAGCTAATGGTCACATGGGCGAATGCGTCGCTCGTTGTCATTTATTGGACCGACGACTGGAGGTTGAAGAATTGAACGTATGACACGTAGCCCTACTCTCCACCAACGTGAGCTTTTCATCTCATGGCTGTTTGTTCTGTGTGTGGCACCTAGCTCTGGCGTTCTTGTTTCTGAACAGGTACCTGAGTGCTGTAAAGGGTTCTACGGCCCGGACTGTAAACCGTGTATTGGAGGTTTCCAGCATCCCTGCTATGACAAAGGATCAGTAAGGAGTATTCACTTTTCTCTGTGAGTGGAGCATCAGCTGACCAATTTCAGTGGTTTTTTTTATCCTTCTCTGTTAAGTGCTTCGATGGTATCCATGGCAACGGCTCATGCATCTGCCACTCTGGATTCAAAGGTTTTGCCTGCCACATCTGTGCCGATCCAGCCAAACATGGAGAGAGCTGTGATGAAGGTAAACATCTCCTAGAGCGCGGTACCAGTGTTGGCTAGAAACTGCACGTCCGGATGTCCGGTTAGGTGCATAAGTCGGAAAGTGAAATCCCTCAATAAGTCTTTAAAGTACAGGAAGGTCGACTTTTGCTTCCGGCTGCCTGGAGAGGAATAGCGTGTACTATCAGTTACAGTTACTTATTAACATCAGAGCTGACAAAGCTCCTCTGATGAGAAGCAAAACGCCATTCGAACCCCTTTAGTTTACCTTTCCTCACATTTTTCACCAGAAATTTTACTTTTCCCAATTTTAAATGTTTTATTATTCTTTAAATTATGTATTTAACTTTCATTTTTTGTTATTTTGAAGCACCTCGTGTTTTTTAACTTAAGAGGCGCTATTTAAAAGATCCTTCTTCTTCAATCCCTGCATGCTCCCACTGAGTGGTCATAAACAATAACAATAATGCCATCATAGTTATGCAGACGACACCCAGATCTACCTAGCTCTATCATCGAGTGACTGTGGTCCTCTAGACTCATTCTGTCAGTGTTGGGCGCAAGTGAAGGATTGATGCAGTCAAACTTCCTCCAGTTAAACGAAGACAAGACTGAAGGTATTGTCTTTGGAAATAAGAAGTCTAGAGATCTTGGAGTCATAACTGATGCAGACCTGAGCTTCACTGGTCGCATTAAGGCTATAGCTAGTTCCGCGTTTTATCTTCAGCATCAAATAGCACGACTCAGAGGTCTCATGTCCAGACACGACGTAGAGAAACTCATTCATGTGTTCATCTCCAGCAGGCTGGACTATTAAACTGTCTTTTTACTGGTCTCCCTGAAAAAGCTGTGAAGCAACAGCAGCTTCAGATTCAGAATGCTGCTGCTAGAGTCTTAACAAGGACCAACAGAACCGAACACACCACTCCTGTGGTCACCAGTATACTACAGAATCCATTTCAGAGTACTTCTACTAGTTTATAAATCACTCAGTGGCATGGGGCCAGAATACATGTCGGATCTCCTTCCTGTATATACAACCAGCAGGGCTCTGAGATCCTTAGGAAGCAGTCAGCTGGTAGAACCGGGTCAGAATCAAACAGGTGAGGCTGCTTTTAGCTACTATGCTGTTCACAGATGGAATCAGCTTCCTCATGACCTCAGATGTGTCCCAACTCTAGAAAGTTTAAATCAGAATTGAAAACCTTCCTGTTTTCATCAGCCTTTGAATCAATGTTCTTATGCTGCACCTTTTGCCCCAGGACTGCTCAATCTTTAACTTTGTCTTTCATTTTGTTTCTAACATCTAATTTCATTTGTTAAAATCTGATTTTAAAATCTGATTTTTCATGTTGTCATAGAGAGTTTAACATTTTAGGTTGTTGCTGTTCTGCACCTGAAAAGCTCATCGAATTGCTTCAGAGTGGGAGATGTGCTTTACGAATAAAGCTGCCTTGTGTGGAAACTTCAAACAACGATACTCATTATATATGTTGTTGTTTGTGAGCATGCTGAAATCCCATCATCTGTGTGTGTTCAGAATGCCATTGTGTCCATGGTGTGTGTGATAACCGTCCTGGCAGTGGCGGAGCGTGTCGAAGAGGATCTTGTCTGAACGGATACTCAGGAGAGTTCTGTGACAAAACGGCCACGCCTTGTAACGCCGACGGCCTGCTGCAACACTGCCACATCCACGCCTACTGCACTCACACAGGGCTGGACACAACGTGAGCTAGCCAACAATTGTACCGCTAATGTTGCTAGCTAGCCCAATGGTTGTTACATTCAAAGTGAAAATGTCTCGCTCTGAAGTTTGTTTGTTTTTTTTTGTTAAGATTATGATGATTCTCATTTGAAATAATCACTCACTGGTCACTTTATTGGGTACACCTTGGTAATACTGGGTTGGACCCCATTTTTCCATCTGAACTGCCTAAATCCTCCGTGGCACAGATTCAACAAGGTACTGAAAACATTCCTCAGAGATCAGGGTCCATGTTGACATGATAGCATCCCACAAATGCTGGAGATTTGTAGACTGCACATCCATCATGCGATTCTCCCGTTCCACCACGTCCCAAAGTTGCTCTTTTAGACTGAGAGCTGGTGACTGTGGGGGCCATTTGAGTGCAGTGAACTAATGTTCAAGAAACCAGTCTGAGGCGATTCCAGCGTTATGACATGGTGCGTTATCCGGCTGGAAGTAGACATCAGAAGATGGGAATACTGTGGTCATACAGGGATGGACATGGTCAGAAACAATACTCGGGTACGCTTTGGCATTGCAATGATGATCAGTTGGTATTAAGGGGCCCAAAATGCGCCAAGAAAATGTCCCCCACACCATTACATCACCATCAGCAGCCCGAACTTTTGGTGCAGGGCAGGATGGATCCACGCTTTCATGTTAACGCCAAATTCTGATCCCACCATCTGAACGTCGCAGCAGAAGTCTAGACTCATCGGACCAGGCGATATTTTGTCCAGTTTTGGAGAGCCTGTGTGAGTTGTAGCCTCAGTTCCCGTTCTTCGCTGACAGGAGTTGCAACTGGTGTGGTCTTCTGCTGCTGTAGCCCGTCTGCCTCAAGGTTCCATGTGTGTTGCATTCAGAGATGCTCTTCTGCACACCTTGGTTGAAACGAGTGGTAATTTGAGTGACTGTTGCCTTCCTAGCTAAAACCAGTCTGGCCATTCTCCTCTGACCTCCGGCATCAACGAGGCTTTTTCGCCCACAGAACTTCCACTCACTGGATGTTTTCCCTTTTTCAGACCATTCTGTGTAAACCCTAGAGATGGTAGAGATCAGCTGTTTCTGAAATACTCAGACCAGCCGTCTCGCACCAACAACCACGCCTCATTCAAAGTCATTTAAATCACCTCTCTTCCCCGTTTGGAAGCTCGGTTTGAACAGCAGCTGATCATCTTGACCATGTCAACATACCTATTGAATTGCCACCATATGATTGGCTGATTAGTCATTTGCATATACTAGCAGTTGGACAGGTGTATCCAATAAAGTGGCCAGTTAGTGTAGTTTGTGTCCTTCAGGACTGACGAGCTAACAGCTAGTCTCAGACCGGTCTGAGACTAGCATCAGAATTAGCTGTTTCTGAGAACAGGCCA